ATATATATATATATATATATGTACACTCTGTATGTATTATTGTAGGGTCTACCTTACAATATAAAGTGCCTTAAAGCAACTGTTGTTGTGAATTAGCGCTGTATAAATAAAATTGAATTGAATTGAAATTAATGCTGGAGAAAATCTTTATTCTAGTGCTGTGAAACTTTAAATTGGATCATTTAAATATGAAAGCTTACAGTCCCACAGCCTGGAAATGTGGAAATGACTTCAGTTTGACACAGATCAAAGTGAAAGGATTTTTCTTCATTGAACAGGTGTTTTTGGTGTGTTTTAGGAGCCGCAATTCCTGCCGAGTGAAAGAGACCCAGCAGCAGATTAGATTATAATGAAGTATACACACTTTCTGCATATAATGTGACTATGTATGTTACTTTTCAACATGCTGTAAATAAAGTTTTTTTTTGTATGATGAAAAGCAAAGTGAGCCGGTGTCAAATTCCTTGTTTGTGCGCACAAACTAAAAAATAAAGATAATTCTGGCTCTACGGTCGCTGCCGTGTTTTATTACGCTCCCAATAAAACACAGAGTGGTCCCTCTTCGCGGGCATACAATATCTTCTAACGTAAACGCTCCGGACAAAGGGTCCCGCATGCGCGTCGTCGAAGAATCCAGTAAATAGAACCCAGGAGCACGAGCAGAGTGTCTGTGCTGACGTCACGGCCGTACGTTGAGAGCTGGAGCTGAGTTGTAAGCGCGAGCTCAGACGGAGGCGCGCCGAGGGAACAGCTACAGCTATGGTGCTCTGTTCTTCTTCGTGAGGACGAAATCAGCCAATTTTATTCTCGTTTTGACGTCTTTTTCTCCGTCTTCTCCGCGACGTAAACAAGCCGTCGGACATTTTGAAATCGCTTCGGGGATACAATATGTCTTCCACGGCGGTCGCTGCCTCCAGAAGGCAGTCCTGCTATTTATGCGATCTGCCCCGCATGCCGTGGGCGATGATCTGGGATTTTACCGAACCCGTCTGCCGTGGTTGTGTGAACTACGAAGGTGCCGACCGGATTGAATTCGTTATCGAGACTGCCAGGCAGCTAAAGAGAGCACACGGCTTTCAGGAGGGCCGCTCTCCCGGCCCGGGGAAGCCCCAGCACGCCGGGAAAGAGCTCAATCACTCGGTTGGGGACCTGGGCTCTCGTCCCCCTCAACCTCTGGATCGTTATCCGCTGTCAGACAGGCCGCCGCGGCTGGGCCCGGAGTACCAGGCGGGCAGGCAGGCGAACGGCCTCCCGATGCCCAACGGATTTCCCAAACCCGACGAGCCACCTGAGCTAAACCGCCAAAGCCCCAACCCCCGCAGGACTAGCACGGTTCCTCCTAACTTGGTGCCTTTGGTAAACGGCGCGATACCTGCCATACATCCACTCAGCGGCCGCCCGACACAGATCGGTCTGCCCGGCGCTCTGATCGCGCCTGTCCCCGGGGAGCACGGCAAACGCCCGGAGGAGCTGAAAGACAAGCACCGGGCGGACAGCATGTCGGACATGTCGGACAGCCACAAGGACTGGATAAACAAAGGCAAAACTGTCAGGGACCTGATGCTGCACACGTTCGACGGCAGGGTAAAGAAGGACCACACCGCCATGCAGCGGGTCATGGCGTACGAAATGAGCGGCACTTCCTCAAAAACAGGTAGGCTGTTTGTTTTGTGTCTGCACTAAATGTGGTGAGCTGGCACGCGCCATGAAAACGGGAACTAATGTGTCAGCACTTCACACACGGTGTGTCGTGGATTTACGCCATCGTGAAGGGTCCGCCCAGCCACGCTGCTGGCACGCACCCGTTCACCTCTTGTGTGAGGCAGCAGTACGGGAGCAGGTGTGTGTGTGTTTGTTGGGGGAAGGGTGTTTAGAAATTTCCTGCCTCGTACTCTGCACAGGCCGGGATGTTAGTGTGGCTGTTAACCCTGCTGCTTTTCCTTTGCACAGACAGAGGGAAGCACCCTCGGCCTGGGAAGAGGAAGGCCTCCCCCGAGCCAGACTGTGAGAGCAGTGTCCCCAAGCTGAACGGCAGCGAGGGCCAGCCATGGCTCCCCTCGCCCTCCGAAGTCCTGAAGATGCCCCCAGCTGCCCTGCCAGGCTTCTCTGCAGCGCCTCCATCCACCATCTCCCCCCACTCCCGCACCACACCACCTGAGGCTGCCACAGCGCAGAATGGCCAGTCTCCCATGACTGCACTCATCCTCGCCACTGATAACGCAGGCAGCACGGGCTCGCCTAAGGACGGCAGCCAGGTACATTCCACCGTGGCGGGGGCGCGACGGAACAGCGGGAGCCCCCTGTCACCCTCACAGAGGAGGTTGGCCCAGAGAGAGGGGCCTGTGAGTGCCAACCCCTCTGCCCCGCACGGTCCCGGCAGTATGGAGCCACCGCCACAGAGCATTCCGGATTCCTCCGTGCCACCGGGCAGCGTGCCGCTGTGCTGCACTCTGTGCCACGAGCGGCTAGAGGACACTCATTTTGTCCAGTGCCCTTCAGTGCCCTCTCACAAGTTCTGTTTCCCCTGCTCCCGGGAGAGCATCAAGCAGCAGGGGGCCACCGGCGAGGTGTACTGTCCCAGTGGTGAACGGTGCCCGCTGGTTGGCTCCAATGTACCCTGGGCCTTCATGCAGGGGGAAATAACCACCATATTGGCCGGAGATATAAAGGTAAAAAAGGAGCGGGACCCTTAAAAAGTTCTCCGACTGCTTCTCGTGAACTTGTTTCCCTTTGTAACCCAAGTATGGCAACAACAGCAGGACATAAAGTAACAGACGCAGCTCACCCAGCAAACCTCAGAGGAGCTGGCAGACATGTACATAGTGAACACAGGGAGTGTATACTTCATAAATGTGGCTGTAAAATTTGACTTTTTTCTTTAATACATTGTGTTTCTTACTGTGTTCCCAGTAAGACTTTTCCTTTTTCCCACCACAGCTGTTTCTTCTCAGTCTGTCGTTGTACGTTAGGTCTGCAGACAGTCCCTGTCCAGCATAGAATGTGACTAATTTGAGCACTTGGCAAAAATCCTTTAATAAATGAAACAAAAAAATGCTTCTAGCTGTACATGTATGCACTTGTTTAAGAAAAAACTTGCCAAATACAGTTTCAGACCTTGTAATAATACCCCAGTGTCTCTGTGGTTTGCTTATTTTCCGTTATCCTGGAGCTGGTCGCAGAGTCATGGCCTGATTGTGAATCAGTCATGATGCAATCCCTCCCAGCAGGAACAAATGGCTTCCAGGGAACAGTGGGTGGAAGGGAAAAGTCAGGGAGCGAGGAGGGGGGGTGAAGGCCGCAGTAGACGTGCGTTGCATAAATGCTGTGTACTGTAAATCACACGTGGGTGAGCCGAGGCTGCTCAGCGCTGAGGCCTCGTGCCCCATGAGCGCGGGGGAGATAAGGAGGGCCTAAAAATAGTCACCGTGGCTTCAAAGTGACGCCCGCGCCGGCGTTTGTTGATGTCAAAACAACTGCCTCATGTCCTGTTTGGCACTTTGGATCTAGAGATTTTCTCTTTGCGTCTCCTTCATCCACCCAAACCAGCCTGACGTCTCGTCAGATGCTGGCAGCAGATCAGAGCTGTCGCTGACTGAATACACACCCTGATTCCAGTGAAAGCACATGGGAGACGTGAGGTCACGAGCGGCGGAGGCCCACTGGGAGTGTTAGCGCAGGAACCGAGCGATCGGCCCTTTGCTTTCCTCCTCTCTCCTCGTGTTACGCCCTCTGTCACGCTGTCAGGATGACGGAAATACCTCAGGCTCTCTTTTCTGTTTCACACAGGCGTCGTTCTCCACAACAAAGCGGCTTCATCAGACAAAATGGCCTCTGTCAGAGCGGATTTGGACCAACCTTAAATCCCCCCACGCTCTCGCCCCCGTGTCAGCGACGTTTATTTGTCTTATTTGCTTTTACTTCAACCTTAAACGTGTATATCAAAGCGTCGTCTGTGGATCTCGCTGTCACGTTTGACTGCTTTGACTTCAGGAAGAAAATAAGGAGGGGGCCCTGCTTCAGAGTAGGGGGGTGGGAGTAAATGCCTTGCTCAGGGGTCACGTGCTCCTTAGTGGAATTCCTGAGTCACTGTCCTCCCTCCCTCCTCTTCTCATGTCTCCTCCCCCCCACTGCAGTAACTTTTCAAGGCTGCTGAGCGCACAGACGGATGAATGGGGGCCTGTATGTGTTTATGCCAGGACAGCGTGCAGAGAGGAAAGCGTTAACCCTTTCCCAGCTTTCTCCCCCACAGACGGCGTGTTTAGTTTTATCCTGCAGCACATTTAACAGGAATGCCGTTTCCTTCCTGGCAGAGCTGCATCTGTGCTGGAGGGTAGACTGTTCTTTCAAACTTTCCTGATTGTCAAACTTTCATTTTTAAATCAAAATTTTCAGGAAATTTTACATCACCAACATCTATAACTTGTTTTTGAATGTCCTAAATGGGCTTAAAGAGGTTTTATAACAATTGCGTGCTGTGCTGAACTGCGATTAAATCAGTCCAGGTCAGCAGACTAGTAGGTCAGTGGTGGGTTTGCTTATGCAACGGCTCTTTTTCTTTAATGAAATTCCTCTTACTTTGTAATCAGCAGTAGACACGCTCCTGTCAGTCTGTCGCTGGGACTCACAGACAGCCTCTTAGGTCTAACAGAGTTCATGTGAGTCACAGTTATTTGATACTTAGTGGTAATAAGGAACATCAGGCCTCTGCATCACTCCCGTGTGTCGTGGGGAAACCTGAGGTAACATTTAATGGCTTGCATTAATATCACGGCCAAAGTAACCTCAGGATTCACTGATGTGCTTCTCCTTTAACAAGTTTGTCATCAAAGTATTGTTCAATGAATGCAAGTACTTAAAAAAGAGGTCAAGTAAAGACTGATCATTTCAAATTGTGTTACAGTACAGTAGTGCAGGTACACACAACCTTCTGTTTGAGGTTTCATCCTGTCAGCAGGGAGAATATTCCTTTTTAAAATCAAACACTTGGAGATGTGCAGCGACCCAACACCAAGTTTGTGTTCTGTCAGACGGACAAGTTCACACACTGATAACAAAGCAATGCTGATATTTAGCCATGTCAGTTTGTAATGATTTATTTTCTTATATTTCATATATTATTCATGTTAAGACTGGTGGCAGGTCTGTCACTTCACTCTGTGGCTGCTGAATATGGAAGCTGCTGTTTGACTTCAGTAGTGAATGAAACCCAACAACCCCCCCCCAAAACAGAGACTTGTTAAAGTTTTTGCAGATAATGACACTTCCCCTTTCACAGTCCTGAAACCAAACGATAGCCTTTGAGTTAAAACTCCTCAGACTTCCTCCAAGTTCTGGAGAGTCTGGATTGTTCTTCAGTGCTTCGTGTAACACTTTCACTTGAATGCATTTTGGTGTTTCTTTAGCAACAATTGTTCCTATTTTTGTCGGCCTGTAAGGTTGTGATAACATGCCAGTTAAGACCATAATGAAATGTTTACAACTAACTTTCAGCTTTGAAGATGAGTCGTATCTGTAAATGCTTAAAAATAAACGTCAACCCGACCACAGCAGGTGAGGTTCACTCAGAGACCTCAGGCCTGTGCTACTAAGAAACAAATCCAGAGTAAGTGATTATTAACTCATTGTGAGGTCATACTGTGCAAAGGTTGATTATACTTCTGAGAATTTCACACTTTAAGTTGCAAACAGTTGATTACTGTGAACTTGAAAAAGTTCTAACAGAAAACTCCTGACTCGGAGCAGTCTTTGGTTTGTCCTCCATCTTTAACATAACACCAAACCTCTCAAGGTACTTTTAAGGTTTTTAAACTTGCCACAGCTCTTCTGTAAACTCAGGCAGTATCAGTGCCTCCTGTCTCTTCATGATGCTGGACTGTTATCTCTATGGGGATCTTCCTCTTCTTGTGACTGAAGTTCATCTTCTCCAGGCTCTGCCTGTTCAGGCTCATTGTTTTGTGTACAGATTAATTTGGGAACATCTACAGTATCTGAAAGTTTAGTCACAGTGCTGAAATATTTAAAGGAAACTTCCAGACAGCGTTGCTTGTTAGCTCCTTGTGTTATTGTCAGTTATGCCAGCCTTATGTTGCAGAAAACATCGACTTGCAGAGTGGGAGCCCTGCCTCGATACGAAGGCCCTTCAGCCTGCGGATCCTTTTGATGTCTTTCAGCCAATCGGATGGCCATATCAAAATAGATCCAAAACTCCGCCCTCTCTCTCAGGATGGTTCATTTTTGGCACGAGGTCGGCCTCAGATTCCAGTCGAACCAGCCCCGTTTTTTTTCATCTGTCACAGAAACTCAACACCCCAAGGGCCCGAAGAGCCAATGGCCCGAGATTAATGGGTTTGCTCAAATTACGTGGCGCACACAGGAGAAAAACTCTGGGCTTCTCTCTCCTCCTGTCTCCCTCTCTTCACTCTGTTTGTTCAGCTGTTCCTCACCCAAAGCTCAACCCCCTCCAGCACCAAACCGCCTCCTCTTTCCTGACTCTGAAGTCCAGGATAAGGCTGTTGTCTTGATTTCACATCTGCAGAACAGCAAACACACGAGAGCAGGAACAACAAACCTCAGCTCCTCACACCTCCGTGAACACTGCCAGTGACAGTAGCTTGGATAAAAACACTGTGCCATGCAGCTATTTTTAATAGGTAGGAAACTCTACCTGCAGGGCAAATAAAGAGACTTATGATGCTTGGAAACTAGGTCATAATCGAGTGAAAAAGACAGCTCTGTGATCTTATATATAAAACATATGAAAGCTGTTTTTAACTTTGAAGTCTGTCCAAGCTGGAATCAACCTGTGAAGTAGAGTATACAAAATAACATGGCAGTGAGCTTTTACTGGTTTCACGTTAACATTACAAATGACTTAAAGTCATTTACACAACAGTGATTCATTTTGTTATTTAGAAGCAATCATTATGATGTAAACTGGTCAATAGTAGTTGTTGTTGGTGGACGGCTGTTTACATCCACTTATTATTGGTCGTAAAGGTCAGGAACATTTTTTTAATGATTTTCTTAAACTGTTGTTTTCCAGGGTGAAATGATTGTATTGATTCATGTTTAATGACTTCAAAAAACATGAGTCATGGTGAAAAGCTTTTAGCATAATTTTTGCTGGATATTTGACCACTCCTCTCGACGGAGTTGTTAGAGTTCATTTAAAGTGGTTGGTTTCTTGCTTCGAGCCGGCTCAGCCCTACTTTCAACAGGGTTGAGGTCAAGATTTTGGGATTTTCATTCCAGAAGCTTAATGTTCGCCTAATTTATCCTTTCCAAAACCATCTTTAATGTGTGTTTGGTATCATTGTCCCGTTGGAACTTCTCATTGTATCCCAAGTCTGCACATTTAAGGTGAAGCTGAAGAATTCGAAGGTAACCTTCCAGTATTCCATCCGCTTTGTGCAGTGTACCAGTACCAGCAGTACATACCCCAAGCATGATGCTACCACCACCATCCTTGACAGTTTATACAGTGTTCTTGGGTTTCAAAGCTTCAACATTACTCCTCCAAACTTATCTCTTGTCATTGTGGCCAAACAGTTCCATCTTTGTCCGTAAGGTAGTTAGCTTGTCTATGTGGGCAACGGCAAATATTAGTGTAGTTTGAAGGAGCGGAGCTTGGTTCCTGGTCCCTACGCCCTCGGTCCTGACTTCACTGTGAACAGTGCTGCTGGTGTTCCAGCAGGCTTGATAGTTTCTGAACAACCTAACCAATTTCTTCTCATTTGAGGGTAACCATGTGGGTCTGGATCTGCTGACTCTTATGTTAAAATGACCAATTTTACATTAAAAAAGCATGTGCACACTGCTACAAAAGGCTTCTTGGGGCTCCACAGATAGCTTACCCCTTCATAACAACTGAATGTTATTTCATAATGTATCTACTGGGATACAGTTGAAGCTTATAGGGGGGTATCTGCTTCAGGTGACAGTGTTTGTCTACTAGGCCTCACCACTTCTCTTAATTGTATTTTTTGCTGCTGGTGAACTTTTTGAAGCATTTTTAAAGTAATTATCTTCCAAGAAGTTTGTGCTCCAGTTTTGGTGAGTATAATTCCAGTATGATATTATTGCGTTACCCACCAATTAACCAATACGTCTGTCTGTGAGACAGTTTG